ATCCCATGAGGTTTCCTGTGTAGGTTCCTATATGAACAACACGATAAATAGGAACACACATGGGATCTTATCCGAGATCTTGTATGAGTTCTTACATAGGTTCTCACATATAAGAAGATTAATAGCAGCTTAATAAGATTTTATATAAAATCTACCTATTAATCTTCTTATATGTGAGAACCTATGTAAGAACTCATACAAGATCTCGGATAAGATCCCATGTGTGTTCCTATTTATCGTGTTGTTCATAAAGGAACCTACACAGGAAACCTCATGGGATCCTGTGTTATTGCTTTTACAGAGACATAAGATCATGCGCGAGCTCTCACGCAAGTTCATCCCAGGAACCTTTTCATACAGGATCTTATGTGTGAACCTGTATGGGAACCCACATAAGAACTTACAAGAGATCCTGGATGGGATCCCATATGTGTTCTCACATAGGAATTTTCAACAGGGCTACAAGATAGTGTTTTCAAAAAATTAAAATTTTGAATTTTAATTTTTCACTATTTTTGATGCGTCGAAATACCATAAGGGCGATGTTTCGAACGCGAATCGAGTTATTTGATTGACCTCCTCAATTGTTCTAGAACAATGTTCTTTAATTTTAATAGAACAATTATAGAACGTGTTTGCTGGGTGGAATTTTTTTTAAATTTGGTTAAGTGAAAGTGTCAAAATAATTATTTAAGTAAAAGTGTGGTTATGTCAGTTTGTTTACAGTCTGTCAAAATGTTAAGAAAAATTTTTAAATTAAAAAACAAAATGTGCAGTGATTAATTAATTAAAAAAGAATAACGTTTATGTTTTGGATAATTTCCAGGATTTATTTCACGCATGTGAGTATTTTTTTATTGTTTTAAAGTGATAGATTTTTACTATTAAATAAAATCTTAAAAAGCAATTAGTGTTGTTTTTTATAGTTAAATTTAGAATAATTAGAAAAATTTTCTTTTAGATTAAAAAAATAATTTGTTTAAAAAATTAAAAATGTGAAAGGCGTAAAATAATATATATCACAAAGAAAACATTTCTTCTACTGTTTCAGAAAATCATAAGAAAGATTTAAATTTATCGAATCATGTTATTGATTATCAAATAATAATTAAAATTTAAGTAAATTCAGATATTTTCATCATTTTTAATTAATTTAAAATTTGGAAAGCCAAAATAAATTTTTATTTTAATAAGTTGACATTTTGTGATGAAATAACTTGAAAATAATTATATTCTGTAATAATAATAATTAAACTCTGTAAAAAAAGAAGTATTAGCACTGGCGCGATTCCGTATTACAAGTAGTGAGGTTGAAATGCGGAAAACGAGAATTGACGTATGTGAAGGAATAGGGAATGAGAAATTCGAGCAGTTGAAATATTAATTACTAATTAATTAATTTACTAATTTTTAATTAGTGAATAAAAAATAAAAAACGCGAGAGTGATCATTAATAGTTATGTGTAGTAAGAGAAGCAAGTTAGCAGAATGTACAAATACATGTGTTTAGTGAAAATAGTGATGTTTAAAGGAATTATTAAAAGTTAAAAGTGAAATATATTAGTGGAAATACGTGAAGTGACGGGTTCTAATACGTGACGTGGAAATAAGTAGATGATCGTACTTCTTTACCGGCATCGGGTATACTATGCTTTGTTGGTAATAGACTGCATCACTGTAAATGATGATAACGTTTTAAGAAATTAAATTTATTAATTTAATGAATTAATTTTATAATTAAAATTAACATGTTTAAATAATTTTATACAAGAAGCTTTCTCAAATTTATTAAAAGCCAATTAATATTCAATAGGTAGGTAAATTATAATTAAGAGGTCGAACAGTCTCTGAAATTCTTTGGCATATAATAATCGCCCTATAAAAATGGCACTGAACGTGAAAATGATAAACATTGATTTTAAAATACTTTTTTCTTAAAAAGCGGACACATTTTTCAAAATAGGAAAAAAATACCAAGGATCCTTATCTTATAAATTTCCTAAATCCGAAAGATTGTGCAAATCTATACAAAAACGCGATTGTAAAATGAAAAGTACGAAAGTAATATAATAACAGTTGCGACATTGTGCTCTATGGGGATTTGTAGGCTTGAATCTTCCCATCTTACTACCCACGTCCATGACTGTGAACGACAGTAAAGAGAAATACTAACAATAATTTCCCCTCTTGATACCACATGAGCAATGACGTATAGCGGGAATGACGTAGCGCGGAAATACGAAACGTATGTGTGTGCGTAATCACAAAAAATAAACACTAATCGAATTCTCTGAAAGCTCGTTACTAGAGTTGTTTTTGCTGTCACTGATTACGAATCTGATATTAGATTCTCAAAATTTAAAATGTCGGATCAAAGAAATTAAACTCTAATCGAATTCTCTGGAAGCTCGTTATTAGGGGGGTTTTGATAATTTCACAACAGAATCTTTAGGCTCTTAGCTTTAATTTTCAATTTTGAAACTTAAAAAATGTTTTGTGGTTCCTGAAATATGTTAAAAAAGGTCCAAGCATGTTTTCCTACAACTCAGCCGTCAATCATCAATTTTCGCCGCATCGCTGCTGAGTTGTAGGAAAAAATGTTCGGACCTTTTTTAACATATTTCAGGAACCACAAAACATTTTTTAAGTTTCAAATATTCAAATTAAAGCTAAGAGCCTAAAGATTATGTTGTAAAATAATCAAATTTTTCCATGCATTATTCTAGATTATGCCGGGAGTCAAAAAACATTAGTAGGAAAGTAGAAAATTGCATAATTTTTTCTTGAAATCTTTTCGGTGTATAAATACCAAAAAAAAAAAATAAAAAAAACTTCTTGATATACATTGAGAAGTAAAATTTTATCAGCTTTCCAACCAACTAAGTTAGAAGTCTCTATCTTTTTTCTAACTTAAAATATCTTGCTTTAACGTCAGCACCAAATTTCTCCTTCTCGCACGTTAGCTATACTTAAAAAGTTAAAAAATAAAGTCCTCGAAACCAAATTTTGTTTACTTTATTCCTGTGACATAAAAAAATCCATGAAAAACAGGTTCAAAAGAGACCTCAAAGGTGTCACTCCCCCTTAATTATTATTTGAATTAATCTAATTTGTTAAATCTAAATATTGAATAGAATGTTCAAAATAGTCATTTCTCATATTTGCAAACTATATACTTAATACATACATATTGATAATAGTACTATTACGTGATGAAACCTAATCGGTTATACTCGGCAATAACCGGATTTTTTTCGTACATCATCGGTAAAGTTCGACCAATCGAATGCTACTAAGAAATAAAATTCCTATTTTCAATGGGAATGTTTTCAAAAAACAATTTTAGATGTTACAATAACCAATTTTTAAGATGAGCAATATTTTTAGCACCTCTGCTTCTTTCTAATAAAAATAGTAATATTTTTAAAACAGAGTATAATATGTGAAATTTCAACTCTTACTTTTCATAATTATTCTAGTCAAAATTTTTTTTGTGATTATCTCTTTTTCCTAATTTACAATTCATATAGCTTTTATTAATCATTCCAACTCTTTATTATAATTATTAATAATATACTATACTTTTAAATGATACCGATAAATTTATTTTGTAATACAGTAGTAGAAAATAATGTCATTTTTATCACTTCATCCTCTCTTACTATTGGTTTTTTCTTTTTTGTAAAAATAATTATTATAATGTCAAATTTTACAAACTAAAGTTTCTCCGTGTAGGAAAATTGGGGCGCATGAATATCCCATAAAAATCATTAGCTAGAACTTTCATTGGTAAGAATTTTATTTGACAGAATTTCTTTTTAGACGAATTTTCATTTTTCGAATTAGTATTTGAGTTACTTTCTTTGTAAACGAAATTTTATTTAACATAATTTTTAAATACCGAATTTTTATTTGACATAATTTTTATTTTAACGAATTTATTTTTATCCACCTTTTATTTAAAAGTATTATAATTTTACTCAATTTTAATTTATCAGAATTCTCATTTAACAAAATTTTAGTTATTCGAATTGTTTAATGTCACAATTTTTAATTTATCGAATCTCCATGTGTCAGAATTTTTATTTACACGAATTTTTATTTAATAGAATTCCTAAAACAGAGAATTTCCATTTGACAGAAATTACAAATGGCCGAACAAGCAAGCGACAGAAAGATTTCGGCGCCAATTTTAAAATAAACCAATCACAATTTTCTTAATAATTTCTGATTGGTCCATTTTAAAAACTGCGCCGAAATCTTTCTGACGTTTGTTTGTTCGGCCATTTGTAATTTCTATCAAATGAAAATTCGCTGTTTTAGAAATTCTATCAAATAAAAATTCGTGTAAATAAAAATTGTGACACATGGAGATTCGATAAATTAAAAATTGTGACATTAAACAATTCGAATAACTAAAATTCTGTTAAATGAGAATTCTGATAAATTAAAATTGAGTAAAATTATAATACTTTTAAATAAAAGGTGGATAAAAAGAAATTCGTTAAAATAAAAATTATGTCAAATAAAAATTCTTTATTTAAAAATTATGTTAAATAAAATTTCGTTTACAAAGAAAATAACTCAAATACTAATTCGAAAAATTAAAATTCGTCTAAAAAAAAATTCTGGTATATAAAATTCTTACAAATGAAAGTTCTAGCTAATGATTTTTATGGGATATTCATGCGCCCCGGAAAATTTTTAGCAGTGTACTTTCTGCAATTTTTTTTAAATGAAATAATATTTTAGACAATTTTATTATCATCTAGTGCAACAATTTTCTAAAGTTAATACAATTTTTTGACTGGGACAGTTCAGGAATGTCAAGTGTTGTTTATTCCTTACTTTATAGACTTAGAAAAATATAAGTTCTTTCTCTTACTTCCTTTTACTAACAAGTTTCTTATTCTCATTCAGACAATCATACTTGTGTATCACCTGTTTCCAGGTGTGAGACCACGTTGTTGTGAAATGCGTTTGTGGAGGAAGGGAAGACAACACAGAAAAGGGGTCCAGGAACAGGAGCACGGGGCCTTGCGAGTAAATGGTGGGGTGAATTGAACTAAAGTGATCGTTAGTAGGTTACTAGGACGTGAGTCGAAGCGGAAACGAGTTCCTCTTGCTTATCCAGTCAGTCTTCGTCGGTCTCAAAAGTTACTTTATTGTAAAGTCACTGACTAAAATTTTTTTTATTTTGATGATGCGGGACTGAATTTTGTTGAAATTATCAAACATAGTGATCATTTATTTAATACTTTATCATAATTCGAAAGAGAATCAAAATTAATTTAAATCTTCTGTTAAGTGAAAAAAGGTAAAGAGTGCTAGTTTGAGAAAGTGACTTTCTGTGTGTACAATATATTATTGGATATTTCGATATAGTGCTACAAAATATTATACATTTATTTATAATATAACATTATTATCAATCAGCTGCAATTTTTTAAATTAATCTATAAAATTTCTATTAAAATAAATTTTTCTTTTAAAAAAATAAAAATTCTGTTTAAACAATATAGTGCACTAGAAATAATATTTCCTACTTTTTCTTATACTGTGCGCTTTCACTTCTTATACGCTCTACATCTAAACTGGTAGAAATTTATACTGCTAATAGATAAAATGAAAAATTCTATGAATAACATTGTATTATTTGTGCTATTGTTTTATTTCGATTAAATAAAAATAAACTTCATATACCCTTAATTTCAACAAATTGATCTCACTATAATTCTTTTTCTAAAATTAAAATTTATAAAAATTGTCAAACCTATATGTTGAAAGTAATTTGTTAAATATATTGATTAAATTCTCATACTCTAAATAAATTCTAAATATTATCTTGCAATATTACGAAATACTCCAATTTATGAATTTTATATTTATATTTTTCGTACCTATCAAATCCAATTTAACGATTGTTCCTGAATTGAATTTAACAGTTTCAATTAGTTGGAATTTCCTGATTTTTTGTCATATTTCACTACCTAATATTTAGTGACCGACTTTTTAATGATTTACAAGTGAGATTCCATTGATTTAAATTAAGAGAGTACTTTCTAAATCTGAATCACCTATGAGTGTACCACTGACTCAATATCGGTATGTGAAAGTTGAAAAATTAATGTGAAATTAAGAATATATTCTTGACAGTTTTTTTAGAATATTGGAATGTAAATTGTTCTTAAATTACATCTATACTATTCTTAAAATAAGAATACATTCTAAATTTTGAGATATATTGCATTTAAATATCCTTAAATAGGTGCCAAGAGTATATTCTTAATATCAAAGAAAATTTTTTTCGGTGAGGTGATGTTAATTACATATTATATTTACATATAATAATAATAATAATAATAATAATAATAATAATAATAATAATATTTCCATTTTGACTTTTTAAGTAACATCCACATTTTAACAACTGATTGAACATTCGTTTAGTGATACAATTCTGAAAAGATTCAAAAATTATTAAAATTTCATTTTCATTGTGTAATTTTTTTAATTGCAGCAGCACGTGTTCAAATTATAGACGATGGATAAGACGCGATCGAGTATGCGGGAGAAGGTTCTATTAGTTTCACTGTCCTTCTTTTTGTTAGTGAGTACAATACTTAACACTCTTTACACGACCTCTTATTTTGCATCCGTGTATGATATAAATTAGTTTCTAGTGTTTTATACCCGGAAGTCGAGGTTGAATTTGAAAGCGTTACGTTCTAATAATAAACAAATTTATTTTGAAAATTAAACCACTACTTAGATGATTTAAACATTTATTTGGCGTAATTTATAAAACGTATAATATTAATAATAGAATCAATATAATAATAAAAATGAAATGAGTTAAATTGTTTAGAAGTAACATTTATTAAAGAGTTGTATGTCAAAGAAGATCCTGGAGAAAGTTGTTGGATTCAGAAAATAAAAAATAGAATACTGAAAACTTGACACAACTGGGTCATGAGAAAAACTTGCTGTGAATCAGTGATGAATTCCACTGTATAGAAGACCTTGATATGTTGGAATATGTAATTTTGAAATGAGACCATCGAAAGTTGAATATTCATTCTTGTGTTATAACCCAGTAAAATATCCTGGTAAAACTTATGTGAGCACTTATCACATAGCGGTTTAAAATATCTAATCGACATAAGTTAAAATTTTAATTAATTTATCAATTTATTTTAACTTTGTTGTAATAAGTAAACAATAAATAAAACTTTGGAAAATATTATAAGATATTTATGGGGTAAAATTCCTGTAGCGAACTAAGTGAAAAAAAAGTTGATCGGATCGGGCTGTAACTTGCACATAGTTTAGCCCTAGGGGTGAGTAATTTAACCACGAAGTATTGTTCGGTTTTTTCAAAAACTGTCGGAGAGGGAGGTGGTTCAAATTTTTTGAAAAATTTAAACAGTGAATTTTTTAGACTTGTAACTTTTAAACAGGAAGAAAAAGAAAAATTTGTCCCAAATGTTTTCGAAAGGTTTTTTCCTGCTCTTTCGAATGATGCAAAACTTTTTTTAAAAAATTCAAATTTTGACCCTTTTTTTGAAAATTAAACATTTTTTCGAATTTTTTTTTAAGTTCGGTCCTTTTTATTTTTTTTATTTATTTTTTTTGAAAGCTAAAAATGTATATTTTCACCACAAAAAATATTGAGATGTCCTTTTTTGTTATTTTCGAGATATTAATTAACTAATTAATGTTAATAAAAAATGAAATACCTATTTTAGAAATAAATAAACTTATTGCAATTCTGAAGCTACAAATTGAAAGCTAACGTAATTCTGCATCGAACGAGCCTTATATGAAGTACTTTGGGTTAGTGGATTGTTAATAAACAATTGGCTAACATGGCAATTGTTTATAAAAAATCCTCTAATCCAAAATAGTCCATACAGGGCTCGTTGGATGCGGAATTACGTCAGCTTTCAATTGGTATCTTTTTATTAAAATTAATTAATTAATATAAAAATTAAAATAAAAAATTTAAAGTTATCGAATTTAATTGAAACATGAAACATTGTCAAAATGTTGTCATGGTTAGTGGAAGTCTAAATAAAAAATATTATTGAAGTTGATAACATATTTTAACGAGATATTTTTATACGGGCTATTCGCTGGTGATGAAAGTATTTAAAAAAAATAAAATTTGACTTTGAAAATTAAGGTTAATGTTTTAATTTGCACATATCTCAAAATCAAAATTTTTGTTAACTATCTCCATGGTAAGTTTGACAGATTTTCTTCTAAATATGTATCTAATTCTTATTGTGGGATCTTTTAAAGTTTCTCAGAAATTAACAATTAATTACCCTCCACCACAAAGTTTCAGGCATATTGGTGTGCTTATATGTAAGGAGTGTTGCCTGCCGTGACAAGCTTGTGCGCGATTATAGCGTGCTCGAGGGATTAATTTTTATTAGGTATCTCAAAAACTTTAAAAGATCCTAATTTTTATTAAGACAGTTAAAAAAGGAAAAAAATTGACTTTGAGACAAAAATGTCAGTTATGCTTTTATTTTTCATACACACACGGAAAAAAAGTTACGTAGGAATTCCCGAAATCGTTCCGAAAACGAGGATTTGTGCAAAAAACAGTAATTAGTAGATATTCCTGAATTATATGTAAAAATTCCGGAACCACCCAGCAAACACTGTTACAGGTTAGTTATAGAACTGTTACAAATTTCTTGAGAACATGTTCTGTAACTGGTTAAGAACCTGTGAGTCACTGGTTACGCAAAATGTCGTACTTAGCGGATATGTAAGATTCTGTAACAGATCTGGAATATAGTTACAAATGTATTTGTAACTGTTCTAGAACTGTTTTGTAACAACTATAAAATGGTACATAACCATTACCGCAAGATTATTACCTAAAAATACATGCAAAATATTTTTATTCTTAATAAAAACATTAAAACTTGATGTAATAGAAAAAGGAAACTCTAAAATAAACATTGTTAGAACAGTGTCAAATTTCAACTATAACTTGCGACTGAGGAGGATTTAAAACTGTATTTCTTATATAAAGAAAAAACAATAAGACTATGTGATATATAAAAATTTTAGAGTTTTTTAAATTTAACTACATACTTAAGTAAAATGAACTATTTATTTATTAATTCCATAGAAAATAGTTAAGGTGTTATAGAAATATTATGTAACACTGTTGCAGAATTGTTCCGATTTGTAGATACAAATGTCATCTAGAACTAATCTGCAACAAAATTTTAGAACAGCTACATAACATTTTTCGGACACAGTTCTAGAACTACGTTGGAACGTCAGTTACAGATCATTTGTGATGATTGTGTTACAGAAATGTTACATTACATTGTTACAAAACTGTGAAGTTCGCATAATATAACAATAATATAACATAATAATAATAATATAATAATAATAATATAATAATAATATAATAATAATAATAATAATAATAATAATATAATAATAATAATACACGGAAAAAATTAATTCAGTAGATTTTACAGAACTATCACGGAGTAGCGGATACAGCTCTTTACGAAACTGAGTGTTGTAAATGTCACTAAATATTCAGGATAAACTTCAGAAATATTCAGCATAAACAATGAAATTTCTGTAGTTTATCCGAAAATATCCATCACATTTTACAAAACTCTGTTTCGTAAAGAGCTGTATCCGCTACTCCGTCACAGTTTTGTAAAATATACTGAATTAATTTTTTCCGTGTATAATATAATAACATAATAATAATATAACATAATATAACAATATTCTAGAATTCTGTTACAAAGAGGTTATATAACAGATTAATAACCAGCTTGTAACAAATGTTCTATAAAACTGTGTTATATATTGGTGAAATATTGGTGAACATATATTGGTGAAATAAATAAATAAAGTAATTAATCAATTTTTAAAGGAATTATTGGTTTAAAAAAGTATATTTTAAAGAAAAATATTCGTGACAAAAATTAATTTTTATAGGAATTATTAGTTAAAAAATTATATTTTAATATAATATCCTTCCGCTGAAGTGGTTAATGAGCTTACTCTCTAAATCTGAATAAGTGAAATTTCACTTAAAATGTGTCAAAAGTCTTCCACGTAGAAAAATAAGTGTATATGCACTTTTAAATAAGTGGTTTTCACTCAAAAATAAGTGAAGTTTCACTTATTTTTAAGTGCATATACACTTATTGTTCTACGTGGAAGACTTTTGACACATTTTAAGTGAAATTTCACTTATTCAGATTTAGAGAGTATATTTTAGAAGTTTTTTTTACTTTTCTATAGGAGAAAAATTCACGTAAGTGTTAATTTCGAATTGGGATGTTTCACCAATAATTCCCCCTGTATAAGAAGGAAGATTTACCATTGTTGCCATAAAAAAGTGATAATGAATGAGTATATAATAAATAAAATAATTGCCTCTATATTTTAGACACCTCTGCTGGCAGGCAAGGTTTACTGAAGTAAGATGGAAAAGTAAGAGAAACCTACATATTTTCTTTTTGTCTAACTTTAATTGATGACTGCGCAGGCAGCTGAGATTACACCGTGTCTTTAAAATTTTCGGATTTAGAATAGAATCTTTTCAATTTATGAGTCTCTTTCTTTTGTGTTTGATTATCGATGCTTCAGATAACACAGATTATAAATTCCACGTTTTGCTCTTCTCTTTTAATATTTTCCCAGATAATTTAAATTTATGTTTTACGGAGATTATAAGGTTGATTTTATTTTGTACTATCATTAGGATTATTAAATTTCATCTCAGGTTAGTTTAAAATCACTGAATAACAAATTTCTTTTTTTCTAAGATTCAGGTACCCGGTCTCCTATAATTAGGTCGACCCTAATGTTCTTTCTTATGCTTTATGGAATTCTGTAACACAGTATAAAAACATTTCACTTTTTTTATTTCTCGACTTAGGTAGAGCTCTACCAACCTAGGTTCTCGCTCTCAAAAGTATTTATTTTTTAATGAGTTATTGGTGTCGTATAGTTTAATGCGTTAGGTCGCGAATAATTGAAACGTTGTTCCTATCAGGACTAGTTCGGGAAAAATTTTAACATAGGGGTCAAAATTGTGTCATCAGAGGGGCCATATTTATCTTAATTTTGGTTAATCAACATCGTTTAACCTATTTTTTGTCATTAACGTCATTGAGAAATTCATGTCCCAGTGTGCAAAGTTACAGAAAAGTTCTGTAACTGTTCTATAACAAAAAAGAACAAGTTCTAGAACTGGTAAGGAACAGGTCAGTAAAAATGTCGTCCCCCTGGGGCACAAAACTGTAACAAGATCTGTAACAATTCTAGAACAATGTTCTAGATAATTGTTCTAGAACAAATATGTAACAATTTGATAACAAAATATAACAATATTCTAGAATTACAGAACTTTTTTTGTATCAGTTTTAATAAAAGTAAAATTATGATTTGTAATTTGTAGTTTTCGCTATAAAATACGTATTTTGTACTTAAAGAATACATTTTTGTGTAGGCAACACATTTCAAAACACAAAAATCCTAAAATGGTTGATTTGTATAAAAAGTGTTTTTTTAGTGGTTTTTTTTAATTCTCCGCTATGAGGAATT